CCCAAACCCCCCCCCCCACAAATACAACTGTTAGCAGCCTCTCCTGCCACCACCGTCCTAGAATTTCAGCATGATAAGTCTTGGTATTAATAACCACCTCCATCTCATTGTACATTAAAAGCACCATTCTGTGGGCCTTTTTGTACACTAGAGTTCTTTAATTAGGCTTTCATAATGTTGTCACTTTTTTCTATTTAAAGCTAATTATTGATACTTCTGGATTGATTTTCTGACTTTCCTGTCTTCTCTGTTCTATTTTTCATCTTATTGCTTTTCTTTTCCTGTCCTCTGGTGAATTACTTACCAGCCTTGTTACTAAAATTTAAATTTTGGCTATCTCAGTTAAAAAAATTATTTTTGAGACAAGGTTTCACTATGTAGTTGAGGCCAGTGTCAAATTCTCTATGTAGCACAGGCTGGCTTTCAACTCACAATCTTCCTGCCTTTGCCTCCTGAGTACTGGGGTACAGGCCATGTTCACCACTAAGGATACCCTAGCCTTAATACTTACTTATTGATTTTTCAGTATTCTGAATAACAGAAGCTATTACTCCTTCATCTGCCTTCCAGTAAAATGCTGTAGTTGGTTGCCTGGCGCTGTATTCATGCCCTTCTCCTCTTCCTCCTCCTCCCCCTCCTTTGTTTTTCTTGACAGGGCTTCTCTGTATAGTCCCACCTGTCCTGAAATTCACAGAGATTCATCTGCCTCTGCCTCCGGAGTGCTAAGATTAAAGGTGTGTGCAACCAGCTGAGTTCTTTGTTTTTATGTGTGTCTTAATACCTCAACCACTTGCTGTCACTTTAGTAAGGTTGTAACTAAGAAGTGAAGGAAATAACCTTCTATAGCCGACTGGCTCTGCAAGCCAGTCACATGTGCTTTACCCAAAGTACCTTGAGGTCACTTTGTGTCAGCACCGAGGAAAGGCGATGTTGGAGGCAGATACTGAGGGGTTCTTGGGATGTGCTGTGTAGATCTTTGCTCCTGCTTCTCTTACAGGAGCTGAAAGTCTGAAACCGATTCCACACACACCAGGCAAATCATCAGTTCAGTGGGCCTCAGGTACAATTTTCTTCAGGTGCTGTGCACCTGAAGCATCTATTTTTTATGCTTTGTCAACACCAGGTTAGTCCCCGCAGCTTCACCGGAGGCAGCTCCTGCAGCTTTTAAGTGTAGTAGCTGTGCCCAAAGCTGGAAGCAGACTGAGGGGGAGGGATTGGAAGTGTCTCTGGAGGCCCTAAGCTCTGTGGGGTGATTACTAGAGGTATTTTCCAGAAGCTTCTTGGGGTAGCCCACATTTAGAACACATAAAACGCTGTCTCTGAGCCCCACCTCATTCTCCTCCCTACTCTTGCTTTCCTTTAGGATGTGTTGAATCATTACCATTAGCAAGGATTGCAGACCTGTGCTCTGTGTGAGAAAGCTGTTGAGATAACTAGAGCTTCACTTCGTAAATGTCAAGGAAACACTCTCGGGATTTCTCCTTTTGTAACAAAATCTCATAAATATGGATTGGACTCCAGATTTGTGAACACACCCCCACACCACCAAAAAAAAAAAAGAAAAGAGAGAGAGAGAGAGAGAGAGAGAGAGAGAGAGAGAGAGAGAGAGAGAGAGAGAGAGACTCAATTCTCTTTGTTCCTTTCTCAACAACCAAACAAAGGTATTAGTGTGGGTCTATTTCTAGGCTCTCCATCCAGTTCCATTGAACTTATTGATTCTTTTGTCAATATTGTACTGTCCTGATTACAGCAGTTTGTTTATAAGTCTTGAAGTTGGATAATGTTAGTCTTTTCACTTTGTTCTTATCCTTCAATATATGTTGACCATCTTTGCCCTTTGTGTCTCTATATAGTTGTTAGAATTACCTTATCAATATCTATAAAATAACCTGCTAAGAGTTTGATTGTGATTGCACTGAATCTGTCAATCAGTTTGGGGGAATTGTATGTGGGCATAATAAGTCTTCTTACTCTTGTATGTGCAAATACCTTCCTTATAGATATTCTTTTTTTTTCTTTCACCAAACATTTTTAGTGTTTTTTTACATAAGTATTTCACATGCTTTTTTTTGAAACATACTTATAAGCATTTAAATTTTTGGATAATAATATAAATACTATTTGTTTTGAATTTAAAATTCCAGTTGTGTGTTGATGGTGTATAAGAATGCAATTGCCTTTCATATGTTAACTTTATATTCTGCAACCTCATTAGTTATAAGATCTTATACTTTTTGTTATTCTTCTTGTTGATTGAGTATGTGCGTGTGTTTGTGTGCTGTTGGAGCTTGAGTTCAAGTCATTATACATGCTAAACAAATACTCTACATAAAACTGTACCCTTATCTCTGTTGTTAATGCTTTAGATATTGAATTTGTTAAAAAATAATTTTGTGACCTTTTATTAGTATCTCTGAGTGTTTCCAGTAACTTTGTATTTCTAATAGTTGCAAGTATTCAGAGTGAACCCCAAGACAAGCGTTTATGAGTAACAATTGGCTTTCTTGACACAGGCTGTGAAACTTTTTGGCTTTTATCAGAAACCATTTAGTCACAGAAACCACAAGTCACTTGAGTTATCTTGTTTCCTGTTGATATATGTATCATTTTTTGATCGTGAGTTGAGGGCTAGAGATGGAAAGATAGTGGCCAGTGGTTTGGACTTAGTGGGGTCTTTTGATGAAAACTTAGAACAGAACAAATGATAGAATCATGAATCCAAATAGTCAAGGGTAAAATTAGCCAAAAATTAGTAGCTGTGTTCTAGTAGTATAAGATTAAGAGAAAAGTTAAAATCAATAAATTAAGTTATTTATGAACAAAGAGTAGGGCTTAGGTCTGCTAGGTAAGCATGGCTGGGATGGATATGCAAACTTAACAAAATTCACTTTGTTTTTAAAAAAGTCTCAAAGGACAGAATGAATATTGAGCTGAGCCACTGGTAGGTAGATGCAGATCATGGGGAAATTCAAGAGTAGGTTGTAGAAATTTAACATAGGATTTGTTGACCAAGAGAAATATCAAAAGAATGAAGACAGTTTACAGTGTGTGTGTGTGTGTGTGTGTGTGTGTGTGTGTGTGTGTGTGTGTATTGCCGAATGCAATGTGGAGTCAGAACTAGATTAATAACAGGTAGTTTATTAAGCAATAGTACTCATGCATGGCAGCCAGTGACCAGGTTTGCACAAGATGCCTCCTAGTCTGCTCAGACAGGCGGGAGAGAGAAAAAAGAGCCACATATGCGCCTCCCTCTTACTTGGGTGTGGTCAGCGGTACCTGTGGCTAGCCCCAAGTGGGTGTGATCAGCGGTACCTCTAAACAGGATATCTCCGTGTGTGTGTGGGGGGGTGTGTGTGTGTGTGTGTGTGTGTGTGTGTGTGTGTGTGTGTATGCTATTATATGCATAAAATACAGGATACATTGTTGGAGGAGAAAGCCACCAAAGAATCAAGAATGAATTTAGTGTTACTACAAGTCTTGAAGCGGTAGGGCAGCACCATTGGGAAGACAGTCTGGGAGAGAAAAATTGCTTCAAACCCTTCATTGAAGGGGGTGGTGTGGCATGGAGGCACCTTGGTAGATCACTGACAGCGAAGTTAGTGGCTGAAAAAAAGGATGAGCAAGGACGGTGGTGAACTCTCCTGGTGACAGAGGGAGCAGAAGAGGGAGGGGGAGCATCCACAAGAGGAGTGAGCAGAGGGAAGCAGTTCTCCACCATCATCACTTTCTCAGAGCTCTTTCTCCCAGAGAATTTATTGTCATGACTGATTAGGGGATATAAAGTCTCAAGAAATACTAAAAATTCAAAACACTCATACCAAAAGGCAACTTCCATGTGCACTTTTTCTTCAAGTCACAGCTCTTTTCTTTCCTCCCCTCAACAGTAAAAACTTGTCAAAAGATGTTTATATTGACAACATCTGTTTCTTTGCAGGCTGTCTTGAGCCCACTGCAGTGGAACTCTAAACCTCACCATCCTGTTCACCGAAACCATGCTTCTAAATACCTTCAACCTGAGGCAGCTGGCCAATCCCTCT